GGGGGCGGTGACGCGCGGAGGGAGCCCGGGGCCGCGCCGCGAGGCGTCTTTCCCTGCGGGGCTTTGTCAACTCTCCCGGAGCGAGCGCCGAGCCGCCGCCGCCCCGCCCCGGACAACTTTCTGCCAATCCTCGCGGCCCGGCCCGCCCTTCTCCCCGCCCCACTACAAAACTTTCCTCCAATCCGGACGTGCGCCCCGCCCCCGCCCCGCTGGGCTCGGGAGCCTTAACCCTAGCGGCGCGGGGCGGCACCCGCAGGGGCGATGAGCGGGACGGCTCCCCGGGGCGCGCCCCCGACCCCCAGACCTCCCCCCCTCAACCAGGCGGACCTTGGGATCTCGTCCCCCGACCTTGGCCGGGCTGGACACCAAGGTATTCTCGCGCAGGGCACCTAGCCCAGTCAGGTGCCGCGGCGCCCACCCCACACCTGCGCCTATCGCGTCCCGGACCTGGGGTGAGCGGGTGCGGCCCCGGGGCTCAGGCCCAATTCTCAGGCCACCCTCTCGCAGGCTCCTAGAGCCTGCTCTGGTCAGGCGCAGGGCCGCATGACCTCCGGCCAGCCCCCGCCCCCAGTCTGGGCCATCTTCCCGGTCGCCCAGGAGGGGGCCAACTGGACCGCTGCGGGGCGCCTCCCCGCCGGGAGGTCTGCCCCCGAGATCTGTTGCAAGTAGAGGAAAGATTCAGGACCCTGCCCTAGCTTCTAGCGGCTCCGGACCGGGAGACGGGGGACAAGGCGGGGAGGAGAAGGACAGGTCTCAAGTGACAGGGGTACAAAGAGGCTGGGCCCACGTATGTGACCCCCCCCCACACACACACATACACACCGGGAGGCTTCCCCGGCCTCATACACGCTAGCGATGGTAATAATAAAGACATTCATAATGATAATAGAAACCAGGATTTATGGCACCTGCTTTAATCCTCACCACCAGGCAGGTGTTGTCTCTGTCCCAGTGGAACAGAGAAGAAATGCAGGCACAGAGAAAGCACGAAGCTTACCCAGGATTTCCCAGCCAGCACCTGGAGTGATCCAGGACTCATGTAGCTGCAGAGCTCAGTTGCTCACTGCCTGTTCCTCCCCTACTCAGCAACCTGCACACACTGGCTCCCATGCCTCCCCCACCTCCACTGATCAGGGTCTCTCTCATCTCCCCACCCCCGCCTGCCATCCTTTCTCCCTGAACGACTGGGCCAGCCTCCTGGCTTCCCCTCCACTGGCGCTTCTCCACTGGAAGTGAGATCATTTCGAAACACAACCCTGATCTTGCTGTGGCTCCCCAGTGCCGTCAACATAAAACCGATGACCTTTGTTGTAGAGAAAAACTTGAAGTCTGTTTCAAGTTACAACACAGAGGTTTGTTAAGGGTTTAAAACAATTGCAATTGGGAAACTACATAACCCATTGAAAATGGAACCGGATAGTCTGGGGCAGTTTATTATACAAGTATTCTTATGGGGTAAAAAGAGGAACCAAGCCTTACAGGAAAACCAGCGAATATTGTAATAATCACACTCTGATGGGTTACTGATTAGTAACAGTTGTAGTTAGTGATTACAGATAGTTTCCCACAAGATGATGCTTCATGATTACAGATGCTTACATGTATTTTGCCTATCTTGCAAAAATACCTTGTTGGCAACAGCACCCAGACAGCACTTTCCTGAGTATGTGTTTTGAGGGGTGCAGATAGTCACGTAATCAAGACCCCTCTGGGCATATGGTTTCACATGCTGTTTTTGAGCACCGACGAAAAACATGTTTTTCTCAAAAACATAGCTGTTAGTCTAGAAATCCAGATTAAAATTAGATAGTGCGGTCAACATATTATGCCTGTATCTCACTGACCGCATTGAAAGTTGCCTTTCCCTGAGATGCCTTTGAGGCCTTGGATGCCCTGGGTCTGCCCATCTCCCAAATTACCAGCCTCCCACCCCCATACGGATGCCCTCCATCTTGTCTGGGACTTTCTTAGCCCATGCTGTTCCCCAGGAACCCTGCCTGGAACAATCAGTCATCTCAGGCCTCTGTTCAGAAGCCACCTCTTCCAGGAAGCCTTCCTGGGATGACTGAAATTAGAGACCTTGTGAGACAGTGCCCTTAGGGCAGAGGAGAGCTGGCTCAGAGGATGTCAGCTCTCAGGGGTGGGGGCCCATCAAGGCCCAAGCTGCCCTCTCAAGGTAACGGGTAGTTCAAAGGCAGGGTCCCAGCCCAGCTGCCTTGACCCCAAATCCTGTCTCTGAGCCAGTGGATGGTGGAGGGGAACCCAGTCCCTGTCAGTCCGGCCCCTGCTGGCCCAGTGTGCCGGGTCTGTGCCCTGAGCCAAAGGCCAGAGACCTCAGTAGCCCTGCCCAGCACATGCAGACTGGCCAGGAGCACACAGGGCCAGGCCTAGCAGGTGGGAAGGAAGCCGGTCAAGGCGGAGGCTCTGTCTTGGAATCAGCCAGGAGAGGCGGTCTCAGGGCCCACCTGAGGACGGCCTGGGCTGGCAGACAGCAGCCCTGGCGCTGGAGGTCACAGACAGGTGCTCCAAGACAAAGTGGGCAGGTGGGTGAAGAGGTCACGCGCTAGTGCGAAGGCAGCCCCAGCCTTCACAGACAGGTTTGTGAGGAGACACCACTGAAGCGTGAAGAGGTCCAACAGGTGTGTGCGCCTGTCAAGGGCAGGTGTGTGATAAAGTAGCTCTGAAAGGGGAGGTCAGAACAGGAAGTGGGCCGACTGTGAGGCGGTCAAGGGCGGGGTGTGGAGGGAGGTACGAGGTGGGCAGTGGGAAAAGGGTCACGGACAGGTGAGGCGGTCCCAGGTGGGTGAGGTGTGGCCGAAATGGCAGGTGGGTGAGGGGGAAGTGGGCGGGTCCGTGGGGCCGTCCCAGGTGTGTTAGGCTGTCAGGTAGGTGTGTGAGGAAATGACGGGGGACAGCGCATCCTGCTCCACCGCCACCCTCCCCGCGCGGCCGCATCCCGAGTCCCGGGGTCCCCCAGAGCCGTCTCCTGTGGGCACCGAGAGCCTTCCGCCGCTAGAACCCCAGACTCCGGCGGCCCCGCGGGTCTTAGCAGAGGAGGCGGAAGGACTGCGGCGGGGGCGTCGCCGGGGTCCGCGTGCCCCGCCCCCGGCCGCCCTGTGCTGGGACGCTCTGCCCCCTGGCGGCCGCGCGGGGCGTAGCGGCTCCCCAGGGCGCCGGGGCCCGGCCCGCCCCGGCCACGCCCCGGCCACGCCCCTGGTCACGCCCGGCCACGTCCGACCTCGCAGGATGTGGCGCTTTCCAAGCAGTGCCAAGCTGGCCTGAGCACCTAGCTGAGGCCGCTTGCTCGGAGAAGCCCTCCCTCCCAGCCCCTCGCCCACCCCTGGAACCAGGCACGGGCGCCCCCTCTTGGGCTCCCACTGCGCTTTCATGGCAATTGGCTCAGAATACGGAACCAGGATGCCAGGATTCAAACCCTGCCGCTTCTAAACTGAAATTGAGGGCAAGTTAGCCAATCTCTCTGGTCTTCGCCCCCCCATCTGCAATCCTACCCCACAGGATTGTCACGGGGATTACATGAATGAATTTCTGCCTCCCACCTGCCGGGCACAGGTAAGCACCAATAAGCGTTAATTTGTTCCTCGTATGTTCATCATTCAGCAGTTTCATGCTGAGCCCTTGCTCCGGGCCAGGCTCTGTCCCAGAAGCTAGAGATGTGGGGACCAGTGAGGTAGACACGGCCCCACCCTCAGAGTGATGGCTTCTTGGTTACAGGTGGTGTTGTTAACAGGTGTAGGGACTGCCAAGAAAAGTGACAGACGGGGGAAAGTACTTGGCAGGGAACTGAAGCAGACTGATGTACAGACGTCTTCCGCTCAAGATCAAGTAATAGGAACCAGATTTACACACCCTCATCTGACAACAACAAAAAGCAGAGATGAAAGAACCGCACTCAATACCCTAGACCTCCGGCAACAAAGGGCAGTGATCCTTGGGAGACAGGAAACTAGTGAGCTGAGCCCTACAACTGCCCCAGCTCACTGCCTGGAGAGGGTTTCCAGGCCACTGTGCAGGGAGGGGGGACCCAGGCAGAGCTGGACAGTCTCCCTGAGTTGAGGAGACGGAGGTAGGGGTCCAGGGAGGACAAAGCAGCTGGAGTTCACAGGACAGGGTACCAGAGGGAAGAGAGCTGCACAGAGAGAACCCCAGAGATCTGCAGAAGGTCTTTCTTGAGGCTTCAGCCGAGTACAGATTGGCGCAAGAGTGTGAAGACACTATGCAAGGCTGGGAAAGCACCATCCGAAAGGCTCAGAGCTCACACAGAGCTGGGAACAGTGCTTATGTCCAACAGCCAGAGGGGAGAGCCTCATAATTCAAGGGGCACTGGTTCAAGTAGAAAGAAGCATCTTGCTTCTGTAGTGGAGAAAAATCAACCTTAGACAACAGGTATGTCTAGTCCTGCCTACCAGAGCTTAAAAACACCTCAAAGGGCCTCAGACTCGAAGAACTAGATGGTGCCCGGCTAC